GGAGGGAGGGAGGGAGGGAGGGAGGGAGGGAGGGAGTGCTTGGGGTTTGAGGCTTCTGAGTCACCTACATTTTTATTTCGATATTGTGCTACGGTGCCCATGTGGTGATGACACATCATGAGTGTAACACCAGGATAAATTAATTCTATGATGCTTTGATGCTCTTTTGAAGGTAAAGAAAGTAACTCTTTAATGCTCTTTTGGAAGTAAATGACATTTCTTTTCAGCCCTAGCAGTTTAACAAAGTCACCCCATACTTTAACCATTTCAATGCTTATTTGCAGTTTTCACTGAGCTTCTTCTTTTCTCCACTTGCTTGTTGGGTCTGAGCAATGTTATGAAGGTAGTCCTCTTCCTGGCCCCTTGCTTTGCATGAACCAAGGGAAGTTTTCTGTGTGGAAGTAATGCAGAGGCAAAAGTTTGGCAGAGGAGGAAGGAAAAGAGGGGGTGATTTTGAAAGGTTCTCCTTAGACACAATAACACTGTGGTACTCTTCTGTACCTTTCTTAGCACATGGATTCTCTGGGGCCAGATGAAGCCCAGGTCCATCCTAGGTGCTGAATCAAATAAAAATGTGTTTGACCATTTTTTAGCAAAAAGGACAACTAGCATGGGAGGACTGTCATCCATCTGAAACAGAATCTGCATCAGAAATGCCATTAAGAGTAGTTCCTGGCATTAATTCTTGAACCACAGAGATTATTGGGAGAGCAGGATTTCTCATGAGCCAAAAAGGATTATTCTAATAGAATTCTTACAGAAATATCTCCTGTTGGAAGATGAGTGCCAGGCCTAGGAGCATTCCATGACACCTCCAACTTTACAAGCGCAGGTAGTATTAGGTGTTCAGTGGTCTACTGCATTCAGGATTAGTCTGTGTGCATTTTTTATGCTGGGTATTTCCTCAAATACTTCAGCTTCCCCCTTCTCCCTACTCCTAGGTTTTAACCTTTATTTTGGTTTTCAGTCTAAAATGCTACTGTTCTTGATGTTTCCCATAAAATTAGCTCAGCTGAGACAAAACTGAAAAAAATTCTCTCAGCAGTGAATTAGAGCAAGTTTTTTTTCCCCCTTTTATTTTCTCTTCCAAAATTTACACTATTACACAAGTGCAGCAGAGTTGATGCAAAGCCAACAGGTCAGGAGAGGGGATTCTGCCCCTTAGCTCTGCTCTGCTGAGACCCACCTGGAGTGCTGCATCCAGCTCTGGGATCCCCAGCACAGGAAAGACATGAACATATTGGAGTGAGCCCAGGGGAGGCCAGCAAGATGATCAGAGGGATGGAGAACCTCTCACACAAGGAAAGGCGAGGGAATCAGGTTGTTTAGCCTGGGAAAGAGAAGGCT